AGAGAGACGTTAAGACCGAGTTTGATAAAAAGATTGCTAAGAAGACATCCATAAACTAATGTTTTGACATGTTTTGAAGGAACAATGTTTATAGTATCTACTAGCTCACTAAATATAATGTGTGGCAATTTTATTTTGTTCTTATTCTTGAGACAGTGCATCCACCATAAATCCCTAATACGAAGAGTGGAGTACCTACCTCCGGATGGTCTAAACCACCAATAGATCATCAAATGAAGAAGACAATCGTGATGAGATCGTAGAGTACTAACACTAGCATTTGGAACATAGGGATAATCCACAGTTTCTTTCTCATTATATAGACCATCATCATCTAGCCCAAAATGTGAAGCTATAGTCTCGGGGTCAATATTAATATATTGTCCTAAAAGGTATGATCTAATTGCTATAGTTCCACACTGAGTCTGGTTTTGAATGCATACCGTATTAGAGTAGAAAATGCGAACTGACTGATGATAGACGATAGGTTTTAGGTGAAACATTTTATCAAACTTCCATGTTTTGAGAATCGGAAGGTATTCGAAGTCAATATCAATCATGGTTTAAATAGAAGGAATACGCTCTTCCCGGATTCTATAAGATTGGAAAGAATTTATATACCTATGGTAAAAGTCGTCTCTATAACGTTCAGGCATATTAAAATAGGATCATATAATGTTTTGATCATTCGGGTTTGGATTTTGAGGTTGAGGAGGTATGAGAGGTTGGTTTGAACGTCTCGATGAAGAAGTCCTAGGGCGTTTAGGATTTGACATGATTAAGGAATAGAATAAGGAATATAACCTACAATTTTGAAACACATGTATGCAAAATAATCAATCTCAAAACTCAATTGAGTCCGCAATAATTCAAGGTTCTCTAAACCGAATCCTAATGGGCATAGTTTTGAAAAACTATTTAGAAAACAATGTTTGAAAAATATAATATGTATAGTATTTCATGAAAACAACATAATTAAATCAAAAACATCAAATTTAAAAATTAAATTTACATTTTCAATTTTTTTTATTTCAAAAATTCATTGAAAATTTGTGAGTTTTTGATGAAATTAGTTGTAAAATATAGTTTGTAATCATCAAACAATCAATTCCCGATATAATGTTCATCCTAGAACTAATCTAAACTAGTTCTAAAATCAAAATATGATAAAATAGAGGTTTTTTTTAGAAAAATACCTTGAAAATTTTGGATTGATGAGAATGAGAAGTTTTTTTGCTCGATTTAATGATAGTAGCAGGATATGGAGATGAAAAGCTAGAAGAATCCGACAATTTCTTGTTGATTTTGAGCAAAAGGAGAATTTAGAGAGGGAGAGAGGCGTACAACTGATGAGAGTTTAGTTTTAGGGTTTGAAACAAATAAGAAAATAAGCCTTTTAAACCGAAAACTCGACGGATGCATCGATGCATGGCTTTGTGCATCGATGCATATTCAAGGAGTGCATCGGTGCATCTTCATGATGTATCGATGCGCATTCAAAGGGATACATCGATACACTGTTTTCATCGATGTTTCAAAATAGCCTGAGTGCATCGATGTATGTCTTGTGCATCGATGCATCAAATGCATTCGATGTTTTCATAAAAACCTGAGTGCATCGATGCATAAAATGCATTCGATCTTCAATTTATTCATTGGTGCATCGGTGCATTCCTTTGCAAAAATTGATTTTAGGCTTGATTTTGGTTCAAAATACTTTGTGAAAATTGTTTCAAAAATATATTAAGTATAAAACACAATTTTACACATTTAGTAAGGTTTGAAATTGATCTTGAAAGACTTGGAGTAATAATTAGATATTTGATTAATTGAATCGAATATACTTATAAAAATCTTTTGTAAAATCTTAAAATTCATTTATACTTAGTTTGTTATATCGAAACATCAAAATGTTTTCAACAACAATGCTCACATAAAGTAAGTGATACCTTTGTTAAGCCTGGAAGTAGCTTTTGCTCCACAAGGACTTTCATTCCTTGTTCTGACATGTGTCCAAGTTTCTGATGTCATAGCATTGCAGAATCTGAACTACATGAGGTAACAAAGGCTTCTGCTTCTAGCAAAGTCTCTCCCTTCAGTATGTACAAGTTTGCTGCTATCTTTTCGCCTTTCATCACCACAAGCGCTCCATGGAACACCTTCATGATTCCTTTTTGTGTTTCAATCTTGCTTTCAGTATTATCCAACAATCCCTAGAATAATAAAATTTTCTTCAGGCCTTTAACGTGTCGCACATCTCGAACAACTTTAATTGTTTCATCATACATCTTCAATTTGATGGTTCTCACGCCAACGATCTCTAAGGCATGATCATTGCAACTATACACAGATCCTCCTGAGACAGATTCATAATGATGGAACAATTCTCTTCTTGAGGTCATGTGATATGTTGCTCCCGAATCAATGAGTCATATATCTACAAATCTTTTCATGTCTTCCACGGTGGTTAACACTTCACAACATAGAGCATCTCCATCATCTGAAGTGTTTGCGGTATTGCCTTGTGGATTGGAGTTCTTATTTAGACTCCAACAATCCTTCTTCAAGTGATCATTCTTTCCACAATTGTAGCACTTTAAATTCTTTTTGCTTTTTGACTTCGATCTACCATGTTTGTGACTGCTACTTTGGCCACGTTCTGTTGATCTCCCTCTTATCGTTGTCAATGCTTCTGCTTGTTGCAGATTTACTTGTCTGTCTTCCTTGTTCTTGCGCCGATTTTCTTCTTGTAGAACAACAGCTGCAACGCCATCGAAGACTAGACTGGTAACATTACTGTTTGTCAAGTTGATGATGAGTTGATCATACGAATCAGGTAGACTTTGAAGTAGAAATTCAGCACGTTCTTGTTCTCCTATTGTACATCTTAAGGATGTAAGCTGAGAAAATAAAGTGTTCAGCATGTTTAAGTGTTTTGTCACTGAAATAGATTCTGGTATACGGAGAGTATACAATTTCCTCTTAAGGAAAATTTTATTGTGCAGCGAAGTGGCCTCGTATAGTTTGGTGAGATGATTCTATATCTCCTTAGCTGTCTTCTTCTCCTCGATGCTTGACAATACTTCATCTGCTAATGCTAGATGAAAGTTTGCTATAGCATTCCCGTCCATTTCGATCCATTTGTTGTCATTTGTGAAATCTATCGGCCTTTCACTGATAGCTACTAGACAACCGTTTTTCCTCAGGATGGCCTTCATCTTCAATTTCCACAATGAGAAATTTCTCCCATTGAATTGTTCAATATCAAATTTTGTTGTCATAGCTTCTATTACGGATATCTCCCACTATTTCACTATCGTGAATAATTCTCTGGAACCTTCAAAGAATGGGTAATACCTTTTTAATTTCTTATGCTGGAGGATCCACCTTTTGGTGGCAACCACAAAGACAATAAGCAGATATTACACACTCAAATCTGGCTCGGATATCAATTGTTGCGTTAGACGGTTATCGAATAGAGCAAAATCGCAATTGATAATTTGAGAAAATAAAAATGAAGATAAAGAATACATAAATTTTACGTGGAAAATCCCTAAATAATATAGGGTAAAACCCACGGGCAACGGTAGAAGAATTTACTATGAGAAAATAGAAATTACAACTTCTCTCGATCTAACAAGGAGAAAATAATGACAATTCTCTCTTGATAAAAAGGAGAAAAAAAACTCTCAAGAAAACTTTCTAAATTCTCTAGTATTTGGAGAAAGCTAGAATGATTTGGGATGATTTTGAAGCTAAATGGGTTAGGGTATTTATATTTGAAGCTTAATGACTAATTTTATAAATACCCTAAAGTACAATGAATAAATTGTGATTTTACCATTATTCAAAAATCAACATTTTCGATGCATGCACAAAAAGCAAACCCATTTGAACCGAAAGTGGCTTGGCCACTTTTGCTAACTTTTCAACATTTTATTCTACTTTGAATCTTCTATTTTTTTTCTTTTGAGTGTATGCAGTTTAATGGATAGTTGAATATGAATATGATCTTGTAAGGACTATTCTAAAAAACTTCTAAAAATCTGACCTTGTTCATGCCACCTGCCGTTAAGTTCTACCCGAGTAACACTAAAACAATGAAAATATAAGGTTTTAGAAATTGTTAGAAATATATTAAAAATATTACGAAAATCATTAAAATAATTATGAGAACAGAAAAGTTTTCATTGTAACGAAAAATATTTTTTCATTACATCTTAGACTATTAAAAAAACTAAAGATTTATATATTTAAAACATTATAATATAATTGTACCAATCCACACAAACTTCATCCATAATTTTAACTTTGAATTGAAAGAAGTAATCAATGAAGATTACAGAAAAAAAACTAACATGGTACATTCACGTGGTTCCACTTCCATCTATATCTATATAGATAGTAAGATCTCAGCCGACAAGCTAAAACAGTGTATATTCTTAAATAATTCTTTCATTTATATCTATAATATTAATTAATTTTTTTATTTATCACATATTAATAATGTATATGTACCATTATATTATTTTTACCTTCTTATACTATCTTAAAATTTTTAAATAAGATGATTAAAATCATCATTTAAAGGTGGATTGGTTTACACTTTTAAGTGTAGTGTCGGTGCCTTGTTTTTCTTTTCACTTTAAAATCGATGCTGCTTACCAAAGCTTTCTCAAAAATACTAAATAAAGTTTCATGTTCAATACGATTCAAGTCATGGATGCATGCGCAAAATTAGATTTATTTATTTTTTAACCCAATTCTGTAATTGGTTGTATTTTTTAACATCCAATAATAATGGATCAAACGTACAACAGCAACAACGAAATTCAACAACTGCTAATACTGTAGACGTTGGCATTTCACAAGCAAGAGTACAATTAAGTCTTTAAAAACAAAGCCTTCTTCTATTCATAATTTGATGTAATTCTAATCCGTAAATACGAAGTTCCCCCAGACAAAATCTAAGTAACATTGCTTCTAGAAACAAAACCAGAAAAACTCAATTATATATATAACTACAAACAGAACAAGCCATTCAAAAACCAATGGCTTGACGCACTCTTCTTTTTTAACTTGGGGGGAGGAGGGAGTTAAGCCATAAACTGACGACCGGTGTAAGTTTGTCCGAAGGACCAACCGGGTGGAGCAACATTGTAGGAGACGACACTACGGCCGTCACTAGTGGTGACGACAAATGACAGACTTTGTCCATCAAGGTAAGTATTGCTTTGCCAGTTCTGTCCCCAGTTTCTGGACATTAATTGCCATTTTGTCCTTGAGCCTTTAATAGATACAGAACGAATATCACCGGCACCTCCGACGTTGGTTACAAGCACTAAATTGAAGTAGGAATGTCCATTAATGGTGAACCTTATTCCCCCTTTTCTCATACACCTCACCCTGCAAAACAATGAACAATTACAATAAATGTCAGTAGAACAAAATACGGAAACATGTTGGGTGAAATGAGGCACTTGTGTTTACCTTCTGTACATCACAGGGACAATACCAGCTTTGTATTGTGCAATGTGTAGGAAAATAGGCTGGGAGAGATCGAAGTGGTGGTTGGGAGGGTTGCACCAGCCTGTGCCACCAGGAGGGCAAAAGTTAGTGGCGGTGACCACGACGGTGCCCGGCAGGCACCATTTTGGGTCGTTAACGCATCTGATCTCATAACATCCACCACAGCCCAAGCCATTGTTAAACAATGCAGTGCTCAATGCCGCCGTGTTAACACCGTAGCCTTGGCTATATAGATTTCCATAGCCACAAGCTCCACCTATAAAGGGAAAAAACCTAAAATATAATTAATGAAACAAATAACAATATTGGATCATGTTAGTCGAAACTGGGTTCTGAAAAGTACCCATGGTTCCTGAAGCATCGCCACCTCCATAGAAAGTTGCATGAGCATTGATCCAGGGACCAAGAGATAGGTGACGGGGACGATGGTTATGCCTAGGATAACCATGAACGTAGTTGGGGGACGGTGAGAGCAACAGAAGTAGAAAAAACCCCAAAAGTGTCATTGCCCTGTAAATGGTCAAAATAAAACACAAAAGACTTTAATGAAGGATGATTGTGAGAAATGAAGAGGGGGATCGAAGGGAATAAATAGGGGGGGGGGGAGAGTCAACGTAATATCTGACTGACTGACAAATCTGACACTCATTAAACTACTGGACTCGGGACCAAGCAACTTCAATGAGGGTTCTGGGGACTCTTCATTTCCTGGAAACAAACGCAGTTTTTATGGGTCTAGCAACGTAATCAGTTTCAACTTTGACCTTACTTGACTATGTACCCTGGATTCTTTATTTTCAATTTATAATCCATATTCATGGCAGCAAGAGACCATAGAGAAATCATTTCATTAATCTTTTCCGTTATATCATTTTTAGTTTGAATCAGTCAAAATTATTTATATTATTAGTTGATTTATAATTAATTTCAAAATGATTTATTTTTATATTTATTTAAAATTAAAAAATATTTGTGAAAATAGAAATAACATAAAGAGAAAAAAATGAATTAGATGTTTTTTAGTAATTAACAGCATAGATAGATAAGAAGGAATTATATATATTTTTTATGAAAATTTCATTTTCAAGATAAATTGGATATCAAAATTTTAAACAACGTGAGGGTTTAGGACGAGATTGACATGAGAGGCATAACAAAAGGGTAAGTTAAGTTAGAGACAAGCAAAAGATAGTTATGTCACGCACTGTTATCATCTTTAATTACGAGAAACTTAAAATTGAGAGCTAAAGCTGGATATGTGTTAGGGTGGAGATGAAGTTTGAATGGTTAAAACTTACATGATTTTGCTCAACTCTATCGATTTACATAATAAAACTAAGCTCAACTTAAATGGATAGAAATATTTTAAAATATAACAGAATTTTTATTTAAAAATAAACATATATGTTCACATGTTAACATAAATGTATATACCGATGGAGTCAAAGAGTGATAATAACGATATATAATGTGTGTATCTTAATCCTAATTATTTAATAAGAGAAAATGTGAAGGTAAAATTAAAATACTCCTAATAATCCATATTCAATCAAAGTATGGTTTCCGCCTTGTATTACTAACAATCGGTTGCCTATCTACTCTAGTTTTAATTAGCAAGTGTCATTTCCCACTAAATATTTGCCAGGCTTTGGTTGAATTTCTGTTTCAATTATGGATAGAGCAGCTTGTTGGAATGGGAACAAACTAGTTTCCTCCTTTCCAACCACCTAACAACAGTCCAGAAATTGAATTATTTGTCAAATTCCATAGATTCAACTTTAAAAAATAAGTTTTGTATTCTTGAATGGTCTAACTCCCATTACTATAGATTTAGTGTGGAACTAAGATTGGTATTTGTGGTTTTGAAGTAAACATTAGTATGATAATGTAAAATATAATAGATCAATGCATGTGGATGGAAGCTTCTAATGAATGTATGTATACATGTGGTGATAAATGCATTTCTCTTATGGTACGCATGTGGAAAAAATACAACTTGGTATGGAGGAAAACGACTTAACCTGACAATTAATGCTTGGCATCTTCACCACTAAATAAAACAACAAATTGAATGGTGAATTTTGAATATGGATATTAAAGCTGTTTTGATGATGCTAAGTTAACGTCAGTTGTGAAGAAACTTGCATATGAATTTTGGTGTTTGGTTCATGGATTAAATTGAGTGAATAACACAAGTGGTTCACCTGCAGGAAACTCAAGTTTACGAGCAGAGGAAATGCATCTGAACTTGTATATGGATCTAGTATGAAACCAAGGCACGGAGGGACGAGTAAAACTGGATCCCAAAGCACACACCATATTTTCCTCTGCGAGTGACATCATTAACTATAATTAAAATTATGAATCCTAAACTTAATTTAATACTTTTATACCGCCATTTCTATGTTGGAATTTCTCGAATTGCCGTCTCATTTCTAAAATAAATATTATATATAAAAAAGGTTAATGAGAAAAGGGATTTACGCTGTCGGTGCCTGCATTCAAGTATGAAAAAGTGTATATATATATGAGTTGCTGAAAATAGGGTTTTATGAATTTTTAATATATATTTGATTTGTACAAAATATGCAAGTGTGACAGCTGCCACACACATGATTATAGCGTGTTTACAAATTTAACATAGCCAGAGAGAATTTAGCAAAGTGGCGATAAAAGGATACGTTTTTTTTCTTCAAAAATGTCTCTCGTTTCTTTGTACTTTAATAAAAATGTGTGATTAGAGTAAATACTTTTATATTTAATATAATTTTTAAATTTAAAAAAATTAAATATGACCTTTTGAATAATGATTTATGTCATTTACGTTATTAACGTGACGCTTCATGATTCTTACATAACGTTTTATGATATTGACATAGTGGTCCACTTGACCGGTGACGTGACATATGGATTATATTCTTCTTTTTATTGAGTTTGACCATATTATTTTTTAAGGGATTTATTTAATTGTTTTTAAATTTTAAATTTTAAATATAAAGTCATAAAAAATATAAAATATAAATATTAAAATAAAAACTAAGGGGTTGTTTGTTTGCCTCTTAATAAAACAATTCAACGTTGAATGCTGAACCGTTCAGCATTCAGCGCGTTTGTTTCGCAACTATGAATGATTTAACACAGAAGTACATTCTGAATGATTCAGAGCCATTATCAAACAACATGTCACATTTGTCGGAACCGTCTTCCGGTTGGGCCCCGGGAATTGGGCTTCGACTTGAAATAATTGGGTTGGAGTCGCCACCGACCACTTTAAAACAAATTTAGGTGGGTCGGACACCATCTTACCTGATCTGCGTTGTACCAGAAACGTGTCGGGTTCGGGAGTCGGTTACGGTCGAGGAAGGATTAGCACCCTTGAACCGCCCTTTCGGTACCAATTAATTTGTCGGTTGTCTTTTATTACGAAAATTAAGAATTTAAATTGAAATTTAAAAATCCGATTCGAATTACTTACCTTTTGATTGGTTGGAAGTACAGCTGAAACAAAATATGTTAGATAAAAAAAAATTACTCAAACAAGGCTAACAATAAAAAATAAATAAAAATAGGTAAAAAAAAATATAAAAACTTAGGATCAAATTGGAACAAATTGAACTTAATGAGTTAGAAAATGGACTGCAAAAGAACAAATAAAAAGTTAGGGGACCAAATCACAAAATACAAAAAAATATAAATAGATAGGGATTAAATTGATTAAATTGGAAATTCGGAGGCAAATTTACAGGTAGTGACCGAATTGCAAAGCGATTCAAAGTTCCAGGGACGGCGGAAAGAATTTAAGAATAAGCTATTTGCAAAATGGTCCTCCGTATATAAATGGGCCAAAAGACCCTTTCCCTTTCATTTTCCTCATTTCCTCAGAAATCTCATCTCTCTCAAACGAGAGAAAACCTCCACCCAGGCGATTTCCGGCCACCGTCAGACGCTGTCCACAACCGCCGACGGCCGCCCCCCTCCAAATACTCCTCTCCACCCCGTAAACCTAAATATGTGACTCAAAAACACAAAACATGCCCCTACCGGCGTAGATCTAGGCGTAAATATTCGATTTTTACCCTTAAAACCCTTCGTATCCCGACGTTTTTCGTTCCTCACGGTGGTGCTTTTCCTCGCGCCAAGAGTTTCGATCCTTTCTTTGATATATTTTGCTTTGTATCTTGGATGTATTTGGTAGTTGTGGTTTGATGGGTTTTTGATGTCTTCTGGTTTCTGGTTTTTGTGACTCTGATGTACTGTTGGCTTTAGTTTTTACTTGTTGTTGGTTTGAACTCTTGGTTTACTGTTGATCCGTTGTGGGTTCTCCTTGATCTTGTTTTGGTTATTTGGTTTACTGTGTTTATGCTTCTGAGATTTGCGTGGCTGTCCCCCCTCTCTGGTCGATGGGTGGTGGGATATTTATACCCATCACCGGCTGTTTGTGACCTCCGAAATACGGGGCTTGTTCGTGGCCGTTGTGACCGGCCACCCCGAGATGGGTCAGTCCCGGGGGATCTCGGCCGGAAATCTCGCGCCGTTTGTAACTTGACCCTTGACCTCCTCTGCACAGCGCTGCTCTGCTTGGATGAGTATACGTTGGAACCCTAATCTGAGCTCTGGGCTGGATCAGGCCCTCGAGACTTATTGGACTGTTTGGACCCTAAAAAAAACATAAAAAGAAAATAATAAAAAGAAAATAAATAATAATAATACTGATATAATATAAATTATATAATACATATATTTCAAAAATATTTTTTAAACTATATATTATATTTAAAAAAGTTTTCAAAACTATATTATATAGTTTTCAAAATGTTTTAAAAATATTATATAAGTTTTTTAAAAAACGTTTTTAAAACTATATATTATATAATTTATTCAAAAATGTTTTTAAAACTATATATTATATAAGTTTTTAAAATGATTTTAAAACTATATGTTATATATATTTTCTAAAATGTTTTAAAAACTATATGTTATATAGTTTTCAAAAAATATTTTAAAAAACTATATATTACCCATATTTTCAAAATGTTTTCTTTTTAAAAACTATATATTATATATATATATTCAAAAACCGTTTGCAAACCATATAATATATATATAGGTATATATGTATAAAATAATAATAAAAAATATGGACGAAAATTAGTGTCTACAGCTGCCCCTCTTTATCCTTTTTCGTGGAACGAAAAATAGGACAAAGACAAAAAAGACACAAATTTTCGTTCGGTGGAGTTGAAGAATAACTCCCTGTCGAATTGAGTTGTAGATGGTTCCTCCGTCGTGAAGTCGAGTCCATATTGAAATGATATGGAATTGAAGCTGCAATTCGGAATTTGAATCTGGATGTGGCTTCTCATTTCCAAATTGTAGTCAACTTCGGTCTTCTTCTCGGTTTAAAGATCTGGGTTGGAAAATTCGACTTGAATGTAGTCTCTTGACTCCACCCTGTGGTTGATAGGCCCTCGAGCTGAATAAAATCGAACTCCGAAGGTCTTCGTTGACAAATAG